CGAGCCAGCGTCCACACCGGAAGAGACCCAGCCTGCGGAGGATTCCAAGATCCTGGACTTCAGAAACAAAACGAGAAAGCCCGCCCCCTCCACCCTTTCTACACGGCTGATTGGAAGGTGTCACTATCGGGCTGCTGATTGGATGACTTTCAGATCCCGCCCCATCAGGACCCAACACTGCCCTAGGAAGCTGGAATGACAGGTTCTCAGTACAGTTGTAGTAAAGATGACACTAAAGGGGACATTTGCATTTAATCTCGTATATAAGGTCGTAGTGATGTATGAGTCGTGTGTATGTACATTATTCGCAATAGAAAAGAATTTCGTGACAATTTTTCCCCTGAGCTCTGTTCCCGAATTCTAAATTTTAAAATGGGAAGCAATCCCCTGAATCAGCAATATCCAATATAAAAGGGGGGAGAAACACACAAGTGTAATATTGAATTTTCTAGTATTTATATTAAAATTAAAACAGGGAATAATGATTGTAATAAAACCCAGTATACCCAAAATATTATCATTATGTGGAATTGTTATTGTTACTGATATATATGTATACATAAATATACTGATATATACATACACACATACATTTCGGTTACTTACTAAATCATCAAAATTCATTGGGTCATCAGCAGGTTTCATTTCAAGGCTGTCACATTCTTTCTCTTCAGGCTATGACCTTCCTGACCTCAATAAAGTGAGGGGCCTGAGAATCTCTTCCATTTACGTCATAGGTGAAGAAATACATTTCCCTGCCAATGTTTCTCTTAGGTCCCAGTGAATAGGGATAATAGTGTCCTAAAAGAGACTCCAACCAGGAGGGGTCCACAGGTGTGCACGGGAGGGAAGCCTGTGTCTCCTGATCCTTCCACAGACTTACTCTCTGTAGTTTAAATAGATTAAAGGCAAAATTCTTTTTTTTTCCAATTTGGCCTTGGACCTAATTGTCAGGCTGTGGACATCTGTTTTCTCCTGTGACGTGGAGTACTGTGTAAATTTAAAAACCCAACCATATGCACACATGTCTGCAAATTTTCCTGTATAATTCAACACCATCCAGCAAGAGATAAAACTTTAATTAGGGGGAAGGGAAATTAATACATACATAGCAGCTACCATTTGCTGGGTAAATTACAATTTAAATATCATCAAGTCATGCCATCATGCCTGTAAGTGTACATTAATTTTCTACCCCTGGATAACAAGCCACTCCAAAATGTATCAGTTGGTGATTGGGTTGCTCCACAATAGAGGTTCAGCTGGGCCGCTTCTGGTGCATCTGGTAAGTGATGGTTGTCAAGATGGCCCCAGAAAGGTGAGCTGGCTATCAGCCGAGGCGTCTTTACCAACCCCCTCATGATATCTCGTGTTTCCAGCAGGCTACTCTGAACTTGTTCTGATAGAAATGGAGGTGTCCTGAAAGAAAGATGAAAAGCATTCAAGACCTTTTCAGCCCGGGTATCAGACTAATATGCTTTAATAGACACAAGGTTATGTGAGCCAAAAGAGGCCAACTCAATTGCAAAGTATAGATGCAGATATCACCTTCCGATGGGAGCTACAGAAAAAACATGTTGCCTAGGTTGTGGATGCAGGGAAGAGCATCAGTATCATTGTGCCTCTTCTTATTAATGAGGTTCAACTGTTCCAAGTCAAGTAATTTGCCCAAACAAGGATGAAATTCCACAAGTCTTCCTGTCTTCTAAAGCCAAATGCTTACTCTAGAACATGTGATCCACCCCACCTATATGGTCCTCTTAAGGCTTGAACAGTGACCTTAATCAAAAGATCAGGCTTTGTGCCCATGAACTATTCTTCATTTTGAGGGATGATCTTTTTGACAGGGTAATTCTACAGCTTCTGCAGAGGACCTAAAATAATTTGGGGGAATGTTTTTCTTAAAAAAATGTGAGGAAAAATTTAGGAAATCAAGAACCAGCCACACATTTTTGTTTCTCATCACAAGAGAAATTTGAAGACACATATAATGTGCCCACAGGCATGAAGATTCTTTTCACTTTTTGGGGGGTCAAGCAGGTAGCCGAAGGGGCACTGGGGCCAATTTGGAAAGGACCCTACTTGATGATTATCTCCACTCCGATAGCCATCAAAGTAGCTGGCATTGTACCATGGGTCTACCACACCAAGGTCAAGAAAGCAGAAGCCACAGAAGATCATGCCAAATGGACTGTCTCAAAGACTATGGACCCATTAAAATTAAGGGTTTATTGGTCCCCAGTGCCTCCATTCCCTGCCTCTCTATCTCTGCCTGAGTCTTTTGTTTTACTCTATGGGTATGGGTATGGGTATGAGTATGGGATCAGGGTCCAACTCATACTGTCCTCAGGCCTGGACATGGGAACCAAGGAAGATACATAAAGAGGTGTTAGCTCTCGTGACTACAGACCAGCAACCCATAGCCCACTTTGACCTGCTCACTGATGCACACTTTGTCCACTTGAACTGAAGGAAAAAAATGTGTGAGCTTATCTTTTGGGATCAGAATACAGAGTTTACAATTCTGTCAAACCCTGTGACTGGAACCCCTCATTGCCAAGAACAAGGGAGTTTCCATTGCAAAGAATGAGGTTATGAAAGAGAGGCTCCCTGGAAACACAAAAATAAATACATATAAAAATATATACATAGAGAAATAACCCCCTTCCAATAAATATACAATAGGAAAACATAATTCAATGGTCATAAAATTACAGGTCTGGAAAATTCTTAAGAAAGATTCTATCCTACGGGAAAGAGAGAGAACCTGGGGAATCAGACTCTGTGCCACAGGAAGGGACCCTGTGGATAGGTTTACTATCCAGAAGAAAATGTTCCCCTCAGGTCCCCAGACTTTAGAGCCCTAACAAATATCTACCCATGCCAAAGCCCTGACCAACTCTCTCCAAAGAAACTACCTTACTCAACACATCTGGGGCCAGTTCCCTGCCTCCCAGTGACCAGGAAGCTGAGAGATCCCCATTCCTATTTTCCACTCTTGACAAAGTCCACCATGTAGTTAATCATTCCTGGCCAGAAACTGGCCAGGATTACTGGTTGTGTTTAAGCCCCCAACCCTTGTACTACACAGGGATAGGAACTAACCAGACAGTCAATCTGTAGACTGACAAAACTCACTGTGCTGGGGGCAGCCCAAATTAATGTTAGAGGACTTACAAAGGGCTGAAACTTGTCTAATATCTTAAACTTTAACTTAGGCACTCCCCTTGCTGATGCCTGCTAGTCCACCTTGTGGGATGACTTATCTTGTTTTGGTATATTTGATCACACTGTGTGAAGATGTCTCTCTGTTTAACCTCACCTGTCTAAAGCACCTTTTAATTGGTTTAATAAAGAGCTGAACAGCCAAATAGCTAGGCAGGAGAGGATAGGCAGGACTTCCAGGCAGAGATAGGAACTCTGGGAAGAATCTGGCAAGACAGATTCACCAGCAAGGTGTGGAGGAAGTCAGATGTACAGTACTGAGGAGAGGTAATGAGCCATGTGGCAGAATGCAGATTAATATAAATGGGTTAATTTAAGTTTTAAGAGCAAGTTGGGAACAAGCCTACATTAAGGCCAAGCTTTGATAATTAATAAGAAGTCTCCATGTCATTATTTGGGAGCTGATGGTCCAAATAAGACCTTTACATCACCTAGACAATAGCAATATTACTGAGCTCCTGAGACTATTTGGTGGGCATGTACTAATGATTTGACTAAATGTGCTTCTTCTGATGTTTTGCAACCTGAGAAACCCCTTTTATTCTGCCCCAGGTAGACCTATTTAATGGAAAAAGTGGAGAATATATTTTAATATGGACCCTGGACTACAGAGGGAAAAAAAGCATTGCCTGTCTTCAGCCCACTCCTGGACAGAGCAGGCATAGGTAGCTCAACAGCCATAGGCATATCAGCCTTTATCATGAGAGATGGAAACTTTAAGAAACTAAATAGACAAGGTTGGTCAGGACCCAGAGACTTAGATCAGTGGTTCTCAACCTTCCTAATACTACCACCCTTTAACACAGTTCCTCAAGTTGTGGTGACCCCAACCATAAAATTTTTTTCATTGCTACTTCGTAACTGTAATTTTGCTACTGTTATTAATACATGCTGAACACATAATATCTGTGTTTTCCAATGGTCTAAGGTGACCCCGTGAAAGGGTCATTCAATGCCAAAAGAGGTCATGACCCAGAGGTTGAGAACCACTGTTTTAGAGGATTCCATTTCTGAGTTAAAACAACTGTTAGATTCCCTTGCAGAAGTGGCCCTACAAAACAGGAGAGACTTAGACTTACTTCTCATGAAACAGGGGGATTATGTATATCTTTGGGAGAAACCTGTTGTTTCTATGCTAACAGATCAGGAGTGATTAGTGAAAATCTTGCCATAACTGGATAAGACCTCAGAAAAGATTTTATTAATTTTAACATTTTTCTTAGAAGGTTAAATTTTCATGACAAAACTAGCTAAAGTTCTGTCAATTTTCTTTTTTATTTTTATTTAAATTAGAAACTATCTTATTTTATATATCAATCCCAGTTCCCTCTCCCCCACCATTCACCCATGCTCCCCACAAACCCCCATCCATCCCTCTTCTGCTCCATAGAAAGAGTGAGGCCTTCAATGGAGATCATTAAAAGTCTGTCACATCATTTGGGGCAGGGCATAGCCAACCCCCTCCCCCCATGTGTCTAGGCTGAAAGAGTATCCCTAAATGGGGAATGGGCTCCCAATGTCCAGTCATGCACTGGGTATAAATGCTCTTCCATTACCAGGGGTCCCATAGACTGCCCAGGCCTCCTAACTGACACCCACATACAGGGGGCCTGGTTCTGTCCTACAATGGATACCAAGCTGTCAGTCTGAGTACATGAGCTCCCCCTTGTTCAGATCAGTTGTTTCTGTGTGTTTCCCCAGCATGGCCTTGACCCCTTTGCTCATCACTCCCCACTCTCTACAACTGGGTTCCAAGAATTTCGGTTAGTGCTTAGCTACAGGTCTCTGCTTCTGTTTCCATCAAATACTGGATGAAGGCTCTATGGT